AAATTATTATTAGTAGTAGTAGTAGTAGTAGTACTCAAGTCTCAGATAGAAAACAGCAGCTGTATAGAAAAAGTATTGGACTTACAGAAAGTTTACATTTCACTTTTAAATTCAGAAGTTAGATTGATTTTAGTCTTAGAAGCACTGACTGTGCAGCTTCCACATTTAAAGCTGCCATTCTGTCTAGAGGAGAAAGGATTAAATGGCTGTGCTGTGAGTTATAAAGCTCAGGATCTCTGCAACATGAGAAAGTGGCAATCTGTGTTTGCAGGTTGCTGTTGTTACTTCATGAAACTCCAAAATATTAATGCAGGGGTACTTTTCTATAGCAGATTCAGAAGTACTTCATAGAATTCAGGGAGCTAAATCTGATAATAGTTTTGGTGTCTGATTCATAGTTAAAGAAACAAAGATAGGACAAAAACATAATTTACCAAAAGACACATCTGCAAAGTCAAGATGGAGTGATATTTCACATCATTTGGTTTCCAGTTCTGTCTTAAAAATACAATATGCTCATTCTTCTGCTTAAAAACATTTACCAAAACACTGCCAAAACTATTCATAAGGAGTTTTAAAAATCAGTTTGAATGAGGCCATAGTTTTAAAGAGAAAGGCCGGAGTAAGATGTGCATTAGCTGCAGATGAATGCAGTTAAGCAACAACAATCTCTACACTGTCATTTTCATGTAACATAAATGACTCATGGAGAGTCAGCAGTTACAACCCTGTTGTGAATGTTGAAAAAAGGGGGAAACAAAAGGTTCAGTGCTTGAGGACATCTCACATCAGATCATTCTGCTGGAAAAAAATGGTGTCTTGTTCAAAATACAATCACTGGCTGAATTGAACCACGGTGTTACATATTGTAGTTACCTTTACATAAAATCCATCAAAGCCTGAATATCTATTCTGTCTTTATAGCTACCTGCCACTACATGAGCTCTTCCTGTTGCTTTTCAAGGATTGTCCAAATGCCACATTAACCAACACATGAGAGCTATCAGTTTTCATTTGAAACATTCCCTGAATGTTCCCCAAAAAGAAGAAATAAGAAATTACTTCACATCATTTAATTTCTTCCATTTTCTAAGAGAAAAAAACTGATGCTAATATCCAAAGAGATATGTAACTATAGTTATTGATACTACCTGAGATGTTTTATTCACAACATTAAGAACAGAGACAATCTTAAACATATCAGCCTTCATTCAAACAGGATTCTACCTTGGCTCTAGATGATTTGGTGCACTACAACCCTGAACAGTAAATCCAACACAGGTTTTTTGTAGCATCCAACTGAACTGACATACTCTCCTACTCATAGCCACTCAGATGTGGCTCAAGGGCCTCTCCCTCTCTTACTAAATCTTGTCCACTTTTAGTGATGTGGCTAGACTCAGAATCACCAAAAACATCCACACAACAGTATTATGTTGGTGCTTGTCTATCCATCTTTATGTTTGGACAATTAATGGAGGTAAAATCTAGAAATACATTAATTTTCAGCCTTATAAATAGCCATATCTATTATGGTGGATAACCACATCCATCAGGTGTGTGGATTGACAAGCTATGCATGTTTGGACCTTATTAATTAGACAAAAGCCGAAACTCATATGTCTGTCTGTGAGTAATCCTAATTTCAGCCTTCTAAAATTCTTGTTGCAAAATTTAAAGGAGAGTCTACTGAAAAAGGAATAATTAAAACATCCTGAATAAAAAGAGCACAAAGTTGTGTATTTAAACAGATATAATGGACTCTTTTTCTACATGTAACTTCATATTGCGGAAGTTCATTTTGGGGGGAAACTGCCAGTTTGAGAGATGCTGAGAGATATTTTTTAAGATAATTGCTAGTTTATTTTTTTTCCTGCAGCTTCCTCCAGTATTCACCAGAGAGAGCATGTCTTTACCACATGAGAGCACTAAGACTGAAGCAATGTTATGCTGTACTCATTTGGGGCTCTTTACAACCCAAGAGAAACAACAAGCTGACAGTCAGTCTTTGATAGAAACTCATCATGGGCTTTCATGGTATGAACAATATTTTCACCTTCTACAAGCAGAAAACTAAACTCAAGATTAAGTGATTCACCTAAAGCTAAAAAAAAAATCACAAAGGAACCATGTAAAGGCTTCCAGTAAAGTGCTCTAAGAACTGACTAAACCTTATGAGAGTATATTAGTCCATCTATCTATCTATCTATCTATCTATCTATCTATCTATCTATCCATCTATCTATCTATCCATCTATCTATCTAAACTAGTGTATCAAAAGTAATGAAAGACACTAAAGACAACAAAGTGCCCACAACGTTAAATAAGATCACTGGGGAAAGATTCTCCTTGCTATGAAAGATGCCATGAGTTTGATTAAAATACCTAATTTTGGAACTCAAAACATTTTATATACCTAGTATGGTTATCAGTAAAGCAAGATGAAATACCAGGGTCTACTAATCATCAGTTTCATACGATAGGCTGCAGTGATTATGCCACAGATTTTTTCAGTGCAGAGCTATGAAGATATGACATATGATTAAGAAGTTTCCACAAGCAGAAACATGTTTTGCATGTAGGAAAAGAACGAATGCTAATCAGAGTCACACTGCAGATACAAGTCTGAATTTTCTACAGGTATCTTCAGCATTACCCACTGAAAAAAATTACACACTGGTTTACAATGAATATTTTCTAAGACATTAAGACAACCCAAACACTAACATATCCTTAGAGAACATTGTACCTGCTAAGCCTTAATTAGGTACAGAAAAAAACCAGAACGAAACAAAGCGACAAGTTCAGATGTCATGCAGAGCCATTTCAAAAATACCTTGATGCAATAAGGATTGAAAATTAAGTTTCAACTCCTGTTCAACTCCCTGCTGCAAGCAAACAGGCTCCAAACGCTTCTTATTTTCTCTATACTGCCTTGAGACTAGAGCTAGAGATCCTGTATTTGATAAAGACCCCACAGGACAGAAGTCCTAGAACAAGTCAATCTGCAAAGGATGTGCTGCAGACCCATGACTCCTGCTGGCACACCAGCTGATGAACTTACTCTTTACTGATGACTAAGCCTAAATCCACAGCTTACCACACAATGGAGAACCACATATATTATTACTACTATAGTAGCTTTACAACAAATTTACTCCATAAATACTAAGCATATAACAGTGAATGTTTTGGGAAAAAAAAGGGATTATCAGAGTTCATTTACTCTGGCTTTTTTTCAATTTATATTATATATTTATATATTATTTTATTTTATATTTTATTTTATAAAATGTCATATGGACATTTGATCCTATTTAAGTATTAGTCAATATTTGCTGTAAATATTTAAAATATTTAAAAAATATTTAAAAAATATTCTGAATTAAAATGAGGGTTTAATTTAAAATTTATTTGCTTTTTAAATTCCCAAAACATTTGCAAATACATAAATGTACATTCAAAACTGGTAAGATATCATTTTTTTCATTCATAGAGAATTATCTACAAGGAGTTTAAAAAGCAGATTATGTTAGATAAACAAGGTATAAATCAAATTTTAACATCATAACACTTGCTACTTTATGTCAATCCCCCCTTTCACCTTTTCCAAAATCTATTTTCTTCCTGTGAATGGGTTTCAACTTTATCAGAAATACCCAACAGATTCATGTATCATTTTGAGGGTTAAGAGAATGCCTTAGAAAAATAAAATCCTGATGTCCTTATTATTTTTTAACATGTATTCAAGGGTACAAGGCTACACTTTTAGTAATATCTTTCTCATGTTTCGTAATTCCAACATTTAAATTCCAACATTTAAATCCCACTGAGATTCCATATTAATGCATATAAAACAAATCAACTCCAGCAAACTTATAAAATATTTACAACCTGATCAGTGTTGCACAGACAGAACTTAAAAGCAATATAAATATGACTATTAGCTATTATATACAGAAGGGGGTATGGTTAAGGGTCTGAAGAATGAAGCAGGATTTGCAGTACAGATTTCCTAAAGGAAACAGGAGTGCAAAAGCACTCTGAAGAACAGTGCAGTGATCTAAGCTTTCAGCCTGCACTAAACTTGTTCATCAGAACTTCACCTGTATTAAATCCTGCCTTCTATACCTGAACAGCACATGTTCAATGATCTGTCATATGGCAGAATGCTGGATGAAACACAAAGAGCGACACTGAATTGGCAAAGATTCAGAAAGATAAGCTTTCAAATATATCACTACATTGTTGTTTTAAAAATACAGGTACAAATGCTATGGAGCTAAACAGAATTTAAAGGTAATTTCTTTGGTAATATTCTAATTTCTGGCATTGTTTATTGAAATAAAGAGTTTTCTGCTTCTGAAAGTATTTTAAAAGCGTCAAAAAGTCAAATATGATGAAGGTACATGATGCATTTAACAAAGCTGATTCACCAGTGGAACCAGCCTATTACAGACCACTCAAAAAATTCTTCTCTAGAAGAAATCTCCTTAATAAAATTTTATTCTCTACCCAAAATGACAGCACCTTAACTAAAGGAGACGAACACCCTCATAAGGAACAGCCAGAGGATGAGTGGCAGATGAATAGTTTTCTCTAACTTTTTAAATAGGATTAAAAGTAACAAAACAACAAATCTCCAACATAGTGCAAATTACAGCTGTTGAAATTAAAATGACCCCACACAGCCAGAAAGGTGTAGCACTGCTGAAATTTGACAGCTATTAGCTGGAAGAAGAAATTATGGAATATGTACAGCTCAAGTCTTCATAATAAAACAATCACCTTTAATATAGAAAAGCTTATCTGAGAAGAGCAACTAGACAGATTTAGGAAGAAAAGATTGCACTTTGTTGCTTATCATGTTAGAAGGTACAGTCATATTTGTTTAGGAATAACAGTAAGACAGCTGATACCACTGCATTACTATCACTGCACACTATCATTTCAGCAACTACAAGAGACAAAAAGTAGACTAAAAAACAGAAAAGCTCACCACTTCTTCATGCCTGCATTTTCTCACATTAATTCCATTAATCTGTTATTAAAAAGATAAAGAGAAGACTTACTCTACATTTCATAAGCATAGATTTCATTTCACTTTTACAGAAAAATACAGACAAAATAATTTGCAGTTTTACTCACCTGTAGAATTGCATCTCCTATAAAGAGCAAACCTGAAAGTTCCGCTGAAAACAGAAAGCATATTTTTCACTCACTTTGTACAAAACATCCAACACTTTGTGTACATGAATTCTTATTTAATTTAATGCTTTTGCATTATCTTTTACAATTTCAAACAAAAACACGATAAAAACCCCAACATACAACTTCCAAATAAATTGCTTGCATTTTCTTTTTTAAACCCAAAATGCTGGTGTATCAGTGTTACAACAAAAGAGGCAATTCAGCCCAAGCACACGACTATGAAACTTCATCCATCAGTCACTAGCACCTTTCAGGCCATTCCAGTAAGGTGTGGTGTATTTTTTTCTGAATAGAAAATGACTGCAGGTCTAGGTCCTATTTGCCTGTGAGAGATAACTTCTTACAGAGAGGAAAAAAGCAACAGGGAGACTCCAGAGCTACTTATGAATAACAAATTTAAATTTTAAGCTTTTACTGAAGATAAAAGACCCTTTAAATCCTGCATATTTGATAAACTCTGCTAAATACCAGAGACTATAAATAATGGGTAATGGTTACATACACTGAAGAGCTAGAAAATAAATATATTGTAAAAAATTCACCAGCCCAACGGAATGTGATTTTTAAAACAAAGCTGCATCACAAAGACATTTATAAAACCTAATTCTGCGCTTCCAATTTTTAAACACTTTGCTCTATTTCAGAGCTATCTCATTCAAATACACCTTATAACTATACCAGAAATATAACAAAGATTATTTAAATGTCTATAAAGGCATTAATAACCCCCAACATGAGAACTAAGAGATATTAACAGATTACTTGTGATTATTACTTATGGTATTCCATATTATCACAGAAGATACTGTCTGGAAAAAGATAGTATTGCACTTGATCCAAAAACTAAACTTTTTTACAAGAGCTGTAAAACTGGAACCAATATTGACATAAATTATGATAGTCAAGTCCGTGCTTGAAGGAGTGGTCCTATGAGCTATATTTAACAATGGATGGTTAAATTATTGCAAAACAGACATTCTGATTTATTTCGAGGCATAGGCTTTGGGTCAAACAGCATTTTCTCTAGTCCAGGAACAGAGCATAACACTTTCCACATCTCAAGACAGCAGTCTCCTACAAAAGAGATGTCCCTCAAAACTAGCTCTCTAAAAATCCGCAGTATTTTTATTGAAAGCAGTAATGAAGATTATATCCCAGCTAGGTATTGGGGCTAGAAACAATGCAACAGCTACTGCAGCAAAAAAAAGTTATTACAGAAATAAAATTGCACTTCTATGTGCTCAATTAAACTTAAGTATATCTTTCTTATTCTTCCTGCAGTGCTTAATATCATTTTAATAGTTACTGCATGTAAAATATGCCACATATTTATGTATTAGTTACATGTATACTGAAAACAATGTAGTCAGAAGTATAACTTCTTAAGGTTAACCTTATTGCCTTCCTTAGGGGCTCATTTCATGCTACTCCTTATTCTCCTTTAATCCAGCTTTCACATCTGCCTTTCAGGGCTGGCTTTTGGCTCTCAATATGCTGAATCTTCCATACCTCTCTTTATATGAGGGGGTGAATACAAGACTTTTTTTTTTTTATGCTGGCACATTTTAGTTGAGAAGAAGCTGAGTTCTAGAATTATTGCATTACAGATGGAGAGAAATGTTCCCAAGTTTGTTTTTCTGGCTTTACACAAGTACATATAAACATAACAAAGATATTAAGTACCCCATATTAGCACTGGTTCATAACCTTCCTCAAAACTGTGCACATCTTGAACTGTTTAACTATTATCCATGTATCATTCCAATAATTTCAAAATGTTGCCAGTTAAAAATACAGAAACTCAGCACCAGCTCTGCTATTATTAAAAATAAGTATGGTCAAGACTTTATGCCTCAATACTACCTGACTAACCAGGTTAAAAAGTCATGCATTCCCCTGCTGTGTTACCATGATTTAAGAGCCAAACATTTCATCTGCTACATCTTCCACAAAATAACTACTGGGAGGTCAAAGCCACTAAATCATTGCCTTTTGTTAAATTTGTTAATCATTTTCATTCTATTTATACCTTCCTATTTCTCATATTAAAAATAATGCTTTGCAATAATCTTTCCTAAATATATATATATATATATATATATATATATATATATGTATATATATATATATACACGTTGAAGACTTTAAAAACTATTCCCAATATCCCTTCTGTACTTTTCTGGAAAAAGTTTCTGAGGAAGAGAGAGATCATAAAGACATGGGAGAGAAAGAATTTGAAAATACTATTTATTTAACATTGAGTAAAGAATCTCAAGATTTAATATATCTTTCTTTAAAGGGTACCTTAATGTAATTAGTGCAATAAGCTGATAACTGATACCCACCTCTTTGTTCTTTGGAAATCTTAGAAATGACCACTGGAATATTATGTTCTGCTCCACCCTGAAAACAAAATAAATTACAATCTTCGTCAGTCACTAAAAATACCTTTTTGCTTAGATTTTACCCTTTTTCTTAAATGTAGTTTTTAGACATTTTAGACACTGAGCAAATAACTCTGATTCTGCACTTCCTCTTTTTTTAATGAATATTTGGTTGTGATTAATCCCTTATTGTCTCACATAAAGAAGTTCTCAGTTGCTATCATTAGCTCACTGAGTGAATTCAGAACTCTATCAGACTTGAAGAAAAAGGACATCAGTTTCTGTGAATTCTGAAGAGTCTAATGGATGAAATGTGTCCCATAAAAGCAGAATGGACATCCAACAATGGCAACCACACTGCAACCACTTAGTTTTCACGCTGGTAAGGAGGTAAATAAAAGCACAAGTAAGAAGGTTTGCACTTTTCATCTCAAAAGCAGCCTTTATTTGTTTCTGTCTGTCACACAAGCACAAAGAGTGAGGAAAGCAGTGGCATAAGCAACAAGGAACAGAAAAAGAAACATTAAGAAATGGAACAGTGGGTGTTCAATAAACAGGGAAAAATAAAGGAAAACCAGATGATAGCTTCAAAGTTCAACAACAATTCAATGCTGTTGCTTCATTCAATTTGTCCTGTTGGGACTGAAAACATTTATGGTGCTTACGAACAAAGTAATACAAATAAATCTTAAATGAAAAGGAAATTCAAAGGAAGGTAAAGGCAAATATACAGAGAGACACAAATACTTTTTCCTCTGCCAAGAGCATCAAAGCATACCCCCAACTGCAAGCTGTACAAATTCAGGTCACCAGAAACCAATGTCTGCCACATTGTTTTGCCTAGGAATCCTGGTTAAGTGTTTGCTTACTCTTCAGCAGACAAATTTACTTTGGAAATTATGGCTTTTTTAGGTCCAGGCATCCAGTGCCAAGCTGTGAAAAGGACTGACATAGGTATTTCAATCCCTAAGGAATGGCACACATCCCTTCTTCACGCAATATCAAAGTGTTTGAAACTGAACAGACCCCTGCACTCAACACCTCTTTCTGTAATGGAATAAAGATCAGTTTCCTGTGAAACCGCAGAATGTTAAATAGGATAAATGTTCCTTTTGCTAGTGGCTAGCAATGCAAATAGCCCTAAAAATAATGAGTTAATAGGGATCTCAGTAATATTACAACAATTATATGTAAAAAATACACAAGTAAAGTTCTACTGGCATTGCATGAGATGAGTGTTGACAAGCATGGAACATATTGGTATTTCTAGCACAGACTGAGTATTGACTCCACAAAAACCAGAGGCTACCATCATTTCAGTTAGGCTAAGAGATGTATTCAGGGCAAATAAATTGTAGCATTATAGTTTGTTGAATATTTTTCAGCAGTTTTCACCAGAAGTGCAGCAACAGTAAAAGTTGGCTCCACTGCAGACAATGAGTTCAAGCTCACTAAATTTGTAAGTTTTAACCTATACCCTCCAAATTTTCTAGTCACATGCAAATATAATTTCATCAAAATTTTTCAAACAAACAGAAAAAAAATAGCTGTGTCTCCTTCTTCCTAAGATTCCAATGTTACACATATGTTGCACTATCCAGGATATCTAAAGCCCAAAAAAGAAGTGTAAGGTTTAAAACAGCCCCTCTGACTCCTTAGACCGGAGGTCAATTAAAGTCAGAAATTATTTTTATTACTAAGCCAGCCTGCAATGCACACAACATGATTGAATACTCACTCATTGTATTGAATCTACCTAAATACATTTACACTACAGATCTGAGGAAGCTTTCAGTAGATGTCCTACCGGAGAGAATTATCTCCTCTCATTGTATTTGAGTCTGACCTGTACAAAGGCTTCTTTTTAAATGAGTAAAAGGATGTAGTGCCTGCTGTTTTAAGAAACAAAAAATCAAACTGCAAACAGCAAATAGTTGATCAGCTATCAATACCCAGTCACTGTCAGCAATCTGTAGCAAACTGTATATATTCTGCCAACATCTTGTTGAATGCTGCTTCAGCTTGACACTCCAGCCTTGCATCCTGCATTCTCCATGCTTGAGAATACTCCTCCATACTACATTGTCCTGAAGAGGAAGAAGTGTATACATGTCTAGTATCTGTTTTTTCAGGGGATATTCTTCTGAAGAAACCTCTGGGAACAGAAGGAACTTTTCCACTGCTTTAAATTTTCTCTTCCTCTAGTACGTACATGTAGTTACAACCTCAGACCAAAGGATGGACAGAAATACATCAAATAGTGGTATTGAAAACTTAATGGCTCAGACCTCTACAAGACTCTAACAATGATCTTTGTCAAGTAAATTTTCTTTGTCCTGTTTCCTTAAGCAGGGATAAGCCTGGAATAACAGCAGCTGCCCACCTGTGGAGGTGATCCTGCTAGAAGAGGCAAAGGAAGCCTTAATCACTGGCAGCTGTTTGAAGGTCACTGGATGTTGGCCACTACTGCTGAGAGGTCACCCACACCTCTTTTCAAAGTGTCACATGATACACTCCCAAAGATTTTTTCTTATCCCAGTTTTTATGTCCAAAAGTTTTTTTTTTTTCAGAAGTTTTTGACATATGAAAAATAGGGCAATTGAAAGCAGTAACTTTAATTGACAAAGGCTGGGGTTTTTGATTCTAAGTATAACAAGGAAATTAATTTTTTATTTTCTTAAAAAAAGAGTTTATAAATGATCAGACCAATTGTTGGACTTCACTATCATCAGGGTTAGACAATGTAGGGGACTATGACTTCATACTAAAAGAAAGCATTTCCATTAGCAAAAACAGCTTTAAGGTCTTTGTACACTGAATTTTTTGATTTAATTATATTGGAGTGTCAAACTGAATCTCAGAAGATCTGTGATGCTGTTCACTATTTTAAAAGAATTATCAAAACAGGCGCAGGATGATAGCAGTGCACCGAGTCCTGGTGGCCAGAAGTCAGACTGTAACCAAAAACCTCAATTTGTTTAATGAACTATCAATTTTGCTGCCTATTTCTCCAGGAACACTACACTCCAATTATAGAAAAACAGGATGTTCTTTCAGAAATCATACACTGAGCATCTTTTGTCAAGGTTCTGCATCTCAAGCTTGTCAGAGATGTGATAAATGACTGAAATATTACACTTCTTAAATTCTACATCTACATTCACGGTTATTCCTTTACACACAAACATTTAACAGAAAGCTTCAGAAAAGAGAAAATAAACCAGAGCAGGTCTGCTTCAAATTCAACCACAGTTTCACCATTAACCTCAGCTAAGACATATAGCCAAACACCAGGTTTTCAAAACCTATGAGAGTGGATTATAACCTACTTATTCAAGGGCTAAAATTTAGGTCCTGAACAAAAGACAACCTTTTATCAGTTTTCTTTTTAAGCAGTTATCTGAATCTCTGATTTTTACAAATATAGTTGGAATACCCAGTTTATAAGAGAAGAGAAGAGTTCCCTCATAGACAAGTTAAAATAAATAATTACTTTAATTTTGGAATTATTAACAATTTGTCCTCTGCTCTTCAGAAAGAAGAATAATTCCAGGAGCTCAAAATACTTGCAGTGGGATAAGACATTTTCAAAATTTATTCAAGAGAAAGTTGAAAGGTGACTTTTTCATGTGAGATTTCTGACAGTAAATGGATGTTTTAAGCCAGCACAAAAAAAAAAAAAAAATGCAATAATGCCCCAGACCTGATTGCCAAAATTAGGCAAATTCATAACAAAGCCCAAGCAAGTATTCTAAAGGGAGTGTCATTAATCACTGTGCTGCTGTAATTAACACCTCAGATAAACAGCATCCTCTGACATACAGCACAGCCAGAAAGCAAGTCCCCAAATAACCCCTATTTTTAATTAGTCTGGGAGTAGTAAGACAGCAGAAACTATTGTAGTTTGAGGGGCTATGGAAGTTACTGACACAAGGAGGAGAGGTCTCAGTCCTTCTCACTCCTTCAGGATAACTTGTACTTTCTGGCACAATCTCAAAATAATTACATTCCTATTTAAAATTAATAACAAATCTAAGTTTTTATTAAAGTTCAGGAATCTTAAAAAATAAAACAAAAACATAGCAGCAAACTTTTATTCATCCGCAAGAAGCAAACCATGATTGAACACCACATTTTAAACAGAAAAATGGCACTTTTCAGAGTATTTGAATCTGATATGTCAGTTCATGCCATAAATAAGTCCACTTCAGTAAGTCTTCAAAAACTTTAGTTTGCCTACTAAAGCAAAAATGAAAAATTACTGCAAGTTCCCATTCTAAGTTGTTTCTTACAATAGTTTAAAATTATAATAATAGATTATTTAATTTTTTTTTAGATTGTATTGGCTATCCAGCTGCTTGTCAATCTTTGTGAGAATGTAGAACTAGTAATAAAGATCCCACATAGATAGATTATTTTTAGAAAAAAAATAATTTTAAAGTCATAAATCATACTACCTGAAACACATAAACAGAACATCCTGGACCATGGAATTAACACTGTCATTTTCATTATCTAATCTATGCCATCCAAACAAGTTTGAGTTTCCTTTTTTCGAAGAGAACTCTGCTCTTAATGACATTTTGAAGGGATTTCATCATCTGATTGCTGGTTATTTCAAAAAATTAAAAATTTTCTATTCACCTTTCCAATACTTTGGTTAATTCTGATGAAAACATCTATAATAGAAAATAATCCTAGAAAATAAATATCTTACTCAAAAAAGTTACGAATAACTTTACTAATTTAAGAAAGATCATTGCACATTCACTATTTAATTTATATTTCTAAATTATTATTTATTTTATGAAATGTATATAATACTTAAAAAATGTGATCTTGAGATTGTCAGCGATGCTAATTCTACATGATAACTCCTTGTGAAGCACATGTAAAATCAAGTTTATTGACTCTTGAGATTTGCTCTCCAATTATCTAGTCCTTTAACCAGTTATTTCTTAGCAGCATCTAAATAAAAGCTCATTTACCCATGTACTTGATTTTACACTGACATTCATTACTTCATCATTATTCAGTGCACTGCAACCTATAATGATACTGGAGGAAAAAAAACTTGAGTGTTTTTAACCAAACTGATGAGAAACTTTGGTGACAAAATAGCAATTAGTTTTCCTTGAACAGAGATCTTCATGGGTCAACAAGATAACAGCAAGCACACTAAGACATTTTAAAAAATTAATATTTCTATTCTGTCATATTCTTATCAATGACAACAAATGCACATTAATCCTTCTTATGAGTCAGTTATAAGGTCATTACTAGCAGAAGTTCATAGCAAAACCTATACTTTCTCTTTATATGCATAATTTAGGCCTCCTTGCATTTAAGTGAAGCACACTTCACTTTTTCCACTGCTATCTTGAGACTGAGAACTGCTGTGTTTAAGAAGATAAAATTAATCTTGTGTTGACACACAGATTCAAAGCTAAGGTTTTCAAAATCATAGATTACAATGACAAAAATTATTAACCCTTCCTCTCTCCCCTAAAAAGAATCACCTACACTTGTATGCATTCTTAAATCTTACTGACAAAAGCAAAAACATGGTAATATGATAAATTACTGTCTGGGCTTGATCTGCAGAAAAATAAACAATATGAGCACACAATTACACTTTCTGTTCCACTAATGAATTGCAGTGGATTAATGTGATATTCTTTGTAGCAGAATTGATGATGAACTTATTGGCTGTTCCATGTGCCTGCCACTATAATTTAGCATTCATTAATAATTATTTAAATTAGAGAGAAGCTCAACATGAGTACAGTCTATACAGTTGAAAACATTTCTCAACTCTTATATCAAATCTTATTACTGAGTTGGTCAGCTTGAATATTAAGGGAATGATTGCCTTCCATTCCATAGGGCAGCATAGTTCTGGCTGCCTGCAGTAACAGTATCCAACATACAAGAATATGTTCCCTGTCTTGTTTCTAGTCCTCTTAAATAGTTTGCACTCATTAACAGTAACACTGATTATATACAGACACACTTTGGGTAAATATGCAATAAATAGACAAAAAAACCATCTTACCTTTATACTTAACCCAAATCCTCCTACGGTCTGTCTTCTAATTGTTACTGTTCTTTCCTGGAAAAAATAAATCAATTTTTGCCAGATTTAATGTCTTCTGCGAGAACAACTATATTCATACTTCAATATTGAAGTTTTTTCAACATTGATTTTTGTTGTTTTAATGAAGTTCTGGATTCCTGAAATGAAAATCCCATGAAATCTATGCTCCACAGGAGAAAGACAAAATCTGGAAGAAGAGATCCTGTCTCAAAAAAACCCCATTAAAACATTTTGTTCAATTCACACCATCCTAACAAGTACTGCAATGCATAAAAACGAGAACTTTAGAGCTGGAGAATTATAGCACAACACACACATTTCAGAGGTTAAGGCCTTGACTAGTCCTAAATTGGTCCCACAAGCAGGCTGATCACTACTTGTGCACCCCTGCAGTGCATTTCCCAACTCAGCTTCATCTGAAAGGAAAACAACTTGTGAATACTGAGGCCACTCACTGATCTTGACCTAAGACTAAGAAGTGCACACATTGCATGAATTCATTTTAAAGCACAGTAACAATCCAAATTAAAAATAAATAAATAAATTAAATAAACCAGAAGCACCAGAAGCTAATACAAAAAACAGCCACTGCTGATCTCAGAGCAATGGCTTAAAAATCATAACCTATAACCTACAGTTATTAAAAGCAGCCTGTCTTTTTAATTTAATTTAATTCTATTTTCAATATATTTTATATTATATTAATTTGATTTTATATTCCTTGTCTAAAAATTTTCTTCTATAAAAAGACTACTGTCTGTCTCTCAGATATGATCATTTACAAAACAGACTTTTTTGTTTTATTCCTAGTCTGTGTGTTGACTTTATAACCACAGACCATTTAGAATTAGTACATTTAGGTAGTGGCAAAATAACATAGCAGCAGATATACCATATATCCAGATCCAAAAATACCAATTTCATAGATTCTGAATGTCCTCTACATGTGGTCTAGATTTTATACTCATTTAATTACCTATATATCTATCACATGGCATAAGTCTGTGTGTATGTTACATTTAACTGTATTTATTTCAGCACAATCAGCATAGATTGCCATTGTCAGTCAGATTTGAAGAGATCAGGAGGAATGCAACAGTGACAGAAACGATGAAATATATACAGAAGTATTTTTTTATTCCTTTATTTACAGAGTAAAATTAAGGTGGTACCACATAAAAGTTTTGGAAAACTCTTATTGCAGAAATTTGGTGAAAATCAAGTCACCTTGGCTTTTTTTTCATGTTTGTGACAAATATGAACTGTGTAACTGTGGAAAGAGCAAGAGTAAACACATCCAATATTTTGGACTGAGAATCAAAATGGATTGCTGAAAATGAGACTACCATTTATTCATTTAGGCTAATGCTTGCAAAATGTGAAATGTTTGCAAATATTTATTATAAGAAAAAGATACATGTTTTGCTATTAAATAGCCAAACACTTGATTTTTTATTTTTAACATAAGCCTCTAAATAGTAACTTGGATGATGCAGTTCCCATAAACTGGGTTCAGGCCACAAACTGGACTCAGAAAATCTTTTGTCTGTCACAGTATCAGATGCAGTTAATGGTACTGACAATATCTTCAGGATAAACCGATATAGGTTACAGTCTGATGTGTGGTCTATGCTGAGTTTACATAAATGAACAGAAAGCATTCAGCTGAGGTTCCACTGGGAGCTGTATTTTTCCTGTTAACTTCATCTCATTTCCACCTCCAGCTTGTGTTGAACAAGGAGTCAAGAACAGGAGCTTGACTTGTACACTCTAGTCAACATATTCTGGTATTTTTTGCTACATATGCTCAAATCAAATTGAACACACTCATGCTGAGATGACATTGAAAAATAGCAACCTTTCACTAAACTGGCTTGAACTGGCTAGTGTTACATCAACCATGAATGGAATAAAGGATAATACACAGATTCAATTTCAAACAAAGTAATATTCTTAGTGAAAAACATGTAACTTCATAAAATTTGTAGTTCATGATATGTCAGTAGTCACTGTAAGTACTGGCATTTGAACATATTTTAAGCTGAAGCTACATTTTAAAAAAAAAATCTAATTAGAAAACTATACTGCAGAATATTTCTGTCTTTGTTGTCTTTCTTAGCCCAACACAAACATAAGTACCCATAAAAAAAGAGTCAATAAAATGTATTTTTTGGTTTTCACTCAGGCAAAGGCAGACTCAAGATAGTCCTGAAAACACCTGATCCAGGGACTTCTGTGAGTTTGCCAGTGCTGTCTGAAAGAAAACTAGAAATATTTCACATTGGAGTTCAGCATTACTTTTTTTATGTGAAAAAAAAATGCATGCCAGCATAGAAGATTTCTAAATAGGCAAAACTGTTTAGAAGCAAGGAAGGAAACCAGAAAAACTTCAAGACACTTTTTCAGCACAACATAATTTATCAGAGGGTTTTGTCTACTATTTTTTCCTAGTTTCTTTTCTGTCTCCATTGAAAGCTGATGGAGAAAAAATTTTGGGACTGAAGAGTTACTGAACTGAATTAAACTCCAAAAATATATTGCAAACTACATGCACTTGAGTGATGTGTTATGTGCAGTGAAGGCACTGCACTGTATTTAATCCAGGCTAATTCAACACACCTCTCAGTCTTACAATAAAGAAATAATAATTTGCTTAACTGAAGAGTTACATTTTCTTTACATCAAGTTAGGTAACAACAACAAACATGCAAATGACCTTCAAAAGTACAAATCAGAATTCTATACAAGTTACATATTTCTTTAGTAAACCATCAATAACCCACTAGTCTACACTTTAAAACCCCACATAAACCTTATAGTGAAACATCTTTTCCAAAACAGTTAGAAGCATCAGACATTTCACATACCAGAATTTTGGACTGGGATCAAGCCCCAGCTCTAATCAGCTGTTGGTCAAGGCAAGTTTATTTTTGCAATCAATAAAGAAAAAATAAGCACATTCAATCCTGGTGGATCAAAGCAGGTGTCCAAATTAGCTGTTAATCAACTTCATCAAGTATAGAGTCAGGATGTCAAATTTAACTTGAGAAAGATGAATCCCTCCCTTTTGATTTGCTTCTTTATTTTGATGGTAGATACTTGCTCTGAAATGTTTTGGCAGAAAACTCCTTTGTCCAAGTAAGTTTTACTTTTTGATTTGCACATGACTTATTTTATGTAACCCTCAAAAACCCCAAACCAAGCTTAATTTTAGGTGCCATTTTCAACCCAGGTAAATGGAATATACATTGTCTGCAAAGCAATATATTGTAATGTATTTTTATTATAATGATTAATGCACTAAAGAAGTTTAACCAGCAATATGAAGTAAATTAATTTTTTCTGATGCCTTTAATTACCATTTCGAATGAACAATAATAATAATAAAATGCTTTTCTCTGGTCTAATAGCTTTAAGTTCTTAAAACGATTTACAATTATTCATTAATAAAACACAGTAAGATCTCTGGAAGGAATAAAAAAATGTACAAGTGAGTAAGTGCTCTAAGTATCCTGATTGACTATTTGTAGTGTTTAGGTTAAAATTACTGATGTTCCATTGATTCTCTATCAATATTTTTATGCTTTCCTCTCTTTTTGCGGCACACGATATTCTATGATTGAATTTGCAAATTCCAAAAGCAACTTCATCTCCAAATTTACAAAATAAAACTTGGTTCAGATGAAAAGATACTTAGTTCAGTGTTCAGTGAGCTTGTAGTTCCATTTTCACATTTGTTATCTACATTATACCAAGCAGAGGGAAGGTTAGAGCTCCTAAGACCCTTAAAAGCAAGATTCAGAGTAGTGTTCTTGCTGTTTCCTGGAATGGAACAAAAGTGGTCATCATTTTATTGAAAAACATGAAGCTGCTGCCATATTTTCAGCATTTTCCATGCCTCTCAGAAAATTGACTGGAAAGGACAGCATAGAGTTTTGCTAAAAAAAAAAAAAAAATAAATAAAATAATCTTCCTCAGAGCTATGCAGTGAAACAGAAACAATGTTTTTGAGGCTTTCATTAAAGAGCTACTAAAATTTCTCCTTAAAATCCACCTGATCTTCTGGGGAACATAAATGTCATCAAAAGTGAGATCAGAAGTGAAGAATGACAATGTGAGCACAGAGCAACAGCAAACAGGGAGGAAAGGAAAGCAGAGAATCCTAGGCAATAATTAACTATTTATATTTAGTCAAGAATTAATGTTAATTTTTAAGTTACATCTTGGAGCAGAGTAAAAATTCAACTATTTCATACTGACTGACATGTGATGTAAAAGAAAGTTTATAATTGATTAACTGACTCTTAAAAAGAATATTTAGTTAGTAATCTTTTCAAACTATCTGTCTTGTATAATATAAATCAGTCATTAATGGCATCCAAAAATCTAAATAATGTTTCTATGTGTCTCTATGAAAGAAGTCAAATACATGTTGAACAAAAGGATGAAGAAAACTTCAAAAATCTTCACAAAACTGAAATAACAGCATGTAAAATTTAAATATACCATTTCTCAACCTTTTTCCCAGTGTGTGGTTATTCACCTGGTGAGTGTGGATATTTATCTTACAAGAGTAAAGGTATGAAGAATTAGTTTGTCTGGGTACAGACAGAAAACAAGACCTCTCTTTTCTGAGGATAGAACTGAGACCAAGGTATTTTATGTATGGAAGAACATGATAAATAGCTGAAAGGTTTGCAGCACAAAACAGTAGGTGGGAAAAAAGGAATAGACATGGAGAGGACTCTACAATAGCACAGGGACATGGAAACATGTAGAAGGAAAAAAAGGAGGAAAATATTAGAACAAAAATTTTAAAATGTAATAGTATAAAGATAAAATAAATACGTTGGCAGCAACTTCATGGATCAACCTGTTAACTTTTGATACCATAATATATTCAAGGTCACACTCTCATATAGCTTATCAGCTATTAGTAATCCTACTACCTTTTGAAGTAAGAAAATGGGAATTTCAAAAATTTTATTCAATTATTGCATACATTTTCAAGGTTT